GAGAGAGAGAGAGAGAGAGAGAGAGAGAGAGAGAGAGAGAGAGAGAGAGAGAGAGAGAGAGAGAGAGAGAGAGTGGTATGCACGCATCTCGCACGGGCCTCCTCGGGAGTCCGATATTAGGATAGGGTGTGTGGGTTCTAGTTTGGGGGGTATTCGTCCATTTTCTTAGGCCGTCCACATTTTCTGCGTTTTCCCTTTTTGTTTGTTCTCAGATCTTCGTGTCTGTTCGCAGTCAAGTTTTGTCTGTTTGTCTGAGTTGAGACTTCGTCCGGTCTGAACGCGTCGTCTCAGTCCTAGGTCCAGACCTGTAGGACCCGCATGCATCAATCCAGTATCGAAGGGCCGATTCAGGCCGAACGTTAGTGTTTTGGGCCACGTGCAATTTTCCATTAGGCTGGACTGCATTAGGCTAGACCAGCGCACGGTTTCCAGGACCAGGTTTCGGGCCTACATCCTGGATCATCGAGTGGTATCTGATCGGACTATCCAGGACCCTGGCCGGCATAGGAGCAGGATGGTCCAGCTCTATAGATAGCTGGACTGCGCTCATTCCTGGGTGCAGTTTTGGAGGTCGAGGTTATGCTGTAGGTCGCGCTGGTGGGCAGCACTGTTCCATAGTAAAGGAGATAGGCGGAGTAGTAGGATAGGAGGTTGGCGGGAGGCCAATTCAGGGGCGACTCACCTGCGGACTCGACTGGGTGCCATAGCTCTTGCGCACCTTCAGTCTTCGCCCACCTGCAGGCAAGGTCCAAGGCGACACCTTTACACTAGTCAGTATCTGGCTTCATTACAGGGACATGTGTCTAACTAGTCTGAAACCAGGACTTTACTTTCAAGAAGTCGTACCCAAGAACAACATGTAGTAATCGGGAACACCGGTAATCAAACCCGATACCGTCCCGACCGGGTCGTGGGCTCACTCCTACGCACACTAAGCGGCAGATGCTCCTACCCAGACAAAAACGCGATCCAATACATCCAAAGGCCGCGGAATACACTCTGGAGCCAAATTCTGTTGCGTCACGCAACCGGCATGCCTAGTGGTCCGGTGCGGTCGTAACTAAGTTTTCCAAACGATCCTAAGCACGAGATCCGGACCGGATTCACTCTAAAACAAGCAGTTCATCGAAGCCAATAGGAAAAACGGAGGCCACCGTGGAAGACCAAATCCTAGAGAAAAGCACGAAAAGCACGAAAAGCACGAAAAGCACGAAAAGCACGAAAAGCACGGAAGGCACGCAAAGTATGCAAAGTACGAAAAGGACAAAATGAAGCACACCAAATCACGGACCGTCGCTTGGAATAGACAAGGTCCGGATCGGTCTATCCTGAAAACGATATAGTAGTTTACCGCATCTTCGCAATATGAATGCCATTGATAGCTTCTTCAGCCTCCTGTCCCCCACAGCCTTGGCCAAATTGGCCAGGGCACAGAGAGAGAGAGAGAGAGAGAGAGAGAGAGAGAGAGAGAGAGAGAG